CTTATTAATCTATCGATATGTTATGGAGATTAGAACTTCAGGGCCACAAAGGTTTTGGCCTACTCTCGGGTTAACTAATACTTACATAGTCTGAAATCAGACTTAAAATCACTCCCTCTGTTCATTTTCCCCACATCATATCTCAGTGGTTGGCCTCAGATTCCACAGTGTCCTGAGAGTCAGAGGTCAACTGATATAATTTCACCTGCTATATACACAGAAAATCTTGTTAACAGCCACACAGTTTGCACACAGTAATGTTCCCCTTTAAGCGCTTTAACATACTTAGATTTAGCATAAGATATAAACCTGTTATAACAATGTGTCCTCACTAAATTATACATTTCATGTCCAAATCTGCACTTCTAAACAGACCTGACCACCTTATTTAATTATCCTGTTACTTTACCATTATATATTTCACCAACTAATTCTTCTCAGTCTCTGCTATGTTTCCTCCATTGAAAGCCTCTGACACACAGCCACACAGGAAGCTTCTTTCTCACCACTCATTTCAGCTAATTTGCATACTGAGTCATATCTCAAGAAGTTACCGTGACAAGAGAAAGGTGTATTTAAATCTTACCACATTATTAAATTATTTTATTTTCTTCCAAGAGTAATCACTTGTTTTGCTCAATCGACACGAACACTTCCAATTCACTATTTTAAAACTACTTTAATCTTTTAATCACTTTTTCATTTTCACCAACATCACTCTCTTGTCATGAAACTTTCCTGAGTTATTCCTCAACTTCAGGGTTTGTGTGTTCACACTGTTTTAACACTAATACACAGACTCACATGCTCAACATGCTGTCTAATCTTCATGAGCTCTCTCGTAGTTGTAAGGTTAATGCATTTTCTGTTTGTGTGTGTGATTTTGTGTGTTTCTTTTTGCAGTGTTTCAGACTCCTTCACAATTTTCCCACTTGAGCAGTCAGTTTTTTCTTTCCCAAATTTGCTAACCCAAATTTTGATTTCCCACCTTAAATAACAGCATTCCTTGTCTTCAGCGTGCTCAGCAGAGCTCATCAGGACAATTAACAATTTTCCACACATATCACCATTCTTTCAGCTCAGTTTTGCAGCATCATTCACGCAATACTCTCATCATCGTCTCACACACACCAGCTTTTCTTTCAAAACAATGTGCACCTCAAATCATTCATCCAAATAACAATTTTACACTTCACCTACAGTGGGGCAAAAAAGTATTTAGTCAGCCACCGATTGTGCAAGTTCCCCCACCTAAAATGATGACAGAGGTCAGTAATTTGCACCAGAGGTACACTTCAACTGTGAGAGACAGAATGTGAAAAAAAAATCCATGAATTCACATGGTAGGATTTGTAAAGAATTTATTCGTAAATCAGGGTGGAAAATAAGTATTTGGTCAATAACAAAAATACAACTCAATACTTTGTAACATAACCTTTGTTGGCAATAACAGAGGTCAAACGTTTACTATAGGTCTTTACCAGGTTTGCACACACAGTAGCTGGTATTTTGGCCCATTCCTCCATGCAGATCTTCTCGAGAGCAGTGATGTTTTGGGGCTGTCGCCGAGCAACACGGACTTTCAACTCCCGCCACAGATTTTCTATGGGGTTGAGGTCTGGGGACTGGCTAGGCCACTCCAGGACTTTAAAATGCTTCTTACGGAGCCACTCCTTTTTTGCCCGGGCGGTGTGTTTTGGATCATTGTCATGTTGGAAGACCCAGCCTCGTTTCATCTTCAAAGTTCTCACTGATGGAAGGAGGTTTTGGCTCAAAATCTCACGATACATGGCCCCATTCATTCTGTCCTTAACACGGATCAGTAGTCCTGTCCCCTTGGCAGACAAACAGCCCCATAGCATGATGTTTCCACCCCCATGCTTCACAGTAGGTATGGTGTTCTTGGGATGCAACTCAGTATTCTTCTTCCTCCAAACACGACGAGTTGAGTTTATACCAAAAAGTTCTACTTTGGTTTCATCTGACCACATGACATTCTCCCAATCCTCTGCTGTATCATCCATGTGCTCTCTGGCAAACTTCAGACGGGCCTGGACATGCACTGGCTTCAGCAGCGGAACACGTCTGGCACTGCGGGATTTGATTCCCTGCCGTTGTAGTGTGTTACTGATGGTGACCTTTGTTACTTTGGTCCCAGCTCTCTGCAGGTCATTCACCAGGTCCCCCCGTGTGGTTCTGGGATCTTTGCTCACCGTTCTCATGATCATTTTGACCCCACGGGATGAGATCTTGCGTGGAGCCCCAGATCGAGGGAGATTATCAGTGGTCTTGTATGTCTTCCATTTTCTGATGATTGCTCCCACAGTTGATTTTTTCAAACCAAGCTGCTTGCCTATTGTACATTCACTCTTCCCAGTCTGGTGCAGGTCTACAATACTTTTCCTGGTGTCCTTCGAAAGCTCTTTGGTCTTGGCCATGGCGGAGTTTGGAGTCTGACTGTTTGAGGCTGTGGACAGGTGTCTTTTATACAGATGATGAGTTCAAACAGGTGCCATTCATACAGGTAACGAGTGGGGGACAGAAAAGCTTCTTACAGAAGACGTTACAGGTCTGTGAGAGCCAGAGATTTTCCTTGTTTGAGGTGACCAAATACTTATTTTCCACCCTGATTTACGAATAAATTCTTTACAAATCCTACCATGTGGATTCATGGATTTTTTTTTTCACATTCTGTCTCCCACAGTTGAAGTGTACCTCTGGTGCAAATTACTGACCTCTGTCATCATTTTAAGTGGGGGAACTTGCACAATCGGTGGCTGACTAAATACTTTTTTGCCCCACCGTAGTTTGTCTTTTCCACCACTACTATGTGGTGGAAAAGACAAACTAGCTATCACCAGTTTGTCATTATGCAATGTACTGTTTATAAGATTGGGGAAACCTGCAGTCAGCTGAGACTGAAAAAGTCACTTGGATGAGCAACAAAATGTTTCTCCCACTGAAAACGCTAAGTCAAGATGAACAGAATCAACTTTTGGAGATTTACTTACCTGGATGATTGAGCATGCATCAAGATATGGGAGATTGTAAACTGCTAGCAGTTAAGCCAGCCTTTAAAGAGTGTTGTCTTTGGTTAGAGGAACCTGAACAACATTTAATTATCTGAACTGATTGCAAAAATGTAATTTACCTGAGAGCTGCCAATAGGCTCAATGTTTGCCAAGGCTATTGGTCTCTGTTTTTTGGCCGCTTTAATTTCTCCATTTCTGTTTATCCATGTTCCAGAAAGCTCAAACCTGTTCCCAATTCTCCACCAACCCTGACCAACCAGAGCCATAAAACATCCTCCCATCCAGCTGCAAAGTGGGTTCCCTCATGTGGGACATCGAGGAAATCATCCACCAGAAACTTCTGAATGAGCCAGGCCCCAGTACCAGTCCACCAAATCTATGCTAAGTTCCCACTTCTGCTCATTCAGCGGTTATTCATTGGGCTCACACTGCCAGGTTCACCTGTAATCCCAGAGTGAGTAGAACCCTTTTTTGATTTTGATGATGTGGTTCTGTTGGCTTCATTGGGTGATGGCTTTGTTACGAAATATATATATTCTTAGTGCTTATTTTCTGATTAGATTGTTTTATGTATTTTAATAAGAGAGGCCATTATAAACCAAGCCCAGATGTGAGAAAAAACTAGGTCAGAGGGTGACAGGTCGCCTAGCAACAGAGGCTTTAGTAAGGGGAGGTTAAGAAACAGGAAGTTTAGTGCAGAGCTGCAGAGGCATATTAATAAAATACAGGAAACCAGACAGAAAAAGCAGAACTAAGTAACACACACACACACACACACACACACACACACACACACACACACACACACACACACACACACACACACACACACACACAAACACACTAGTCCGACCAGAAGGAGTTGTTTTGAATGAAACTGTGTGTGTCTGTGTGTGACGTATAGCAGAACTATATACGTATTTTGGCTGGCAATGCCTTTAGAACTGGGGGTGCGTGCTCGTGTCTGCAGTTCTCTGTTTCCGGAAATGTACAATAGAGATCATTTTTTGAGCTTTGACCACTCTGAGTCGGAAGTCTTTCTCTTTCGCCAAAAGAATTCCAAAGAACCGAATTTAATAGCCTCCAGCTCACACTTGAACAGTTCGCAGCTGAGTGTGAAGCTGTGGGAATGACAATCAGCACCTCCAAATCTTAGGCAATGGTCCTCAGGTGGAAAAGGGTGGAGTGCCCACTCCAGGTCAGGCACGAGTTCCTGCCCCAAGTGGAGGAGATGAAGTATCTCGGGGTCTTGTTCACGAGTAATGGGAGAAGGGAGCAGGAGATTGTCAGGTGGACTCGTGCTGCGGCTGCAGTGATATGGATACTGTACCAGTCCTTCGTGGTTAAGAGGGAAGTATAAAAACAAAGCTCTCAATTTACCAGTTGATTTGTATCCCTACCCTCACCTATGGTCACGAGCTGTGGGTAGTGATCGAAATAACGAGATCATGGATACAAGTGGCAAAAATGGGCTTCCTCCGAAGGGTGGCTGTCCTCTCCTTAGAGATCCTGGTCCTCCACATCAAAAGGAGCCAGTTGCGGTGGTTCGGGCATCTGACAAGGATGCCTCCTGGGCGCCTCCTGGGTGAGGGAGGTGTATGATCCAGGCATGTCCCACCAGGAGGAGGCCTGGGGCAGACCCAGGACACGCTGGAGAGATTATATCTCTCGGCTGGCCTGGGAACACCTTGGTATTCCCCCAGACAATCTGGAGGAGGTGGCTGGGAAGAGGGAGGTCTGGGCTTCTCTGCTAAGGCTGCTATCCTCGCGACCCGGCCCCAGATAAGTGGAAGAAAATGGATGGATGGATGAATGGATCAATGGACATATTTGAAAGGTATGGCTCTCTCTTGCAAGCTGACCCCCCGACATATCTGAGTCTGACACTATCAGGTTGTGAGAAATTATTGCAAATATTCATTTAAAGAAACGACATAACAGAAACCAATCTGTAAATATTCTGTTTTTATTAAAGCTTTTTACATGCAGTTGTTGCACATCTTGAAAGTTTCCTGATTTTCTTTTTATTTACCCAAATCTAAATAGTGTTAATTAACAGTGTTAATTTCTCATAAAGATGTATTCTGGTCATTTTGACTTTTCTTACAGAAAATGTGCAAATTAAAAGAAATTTCACAGAATACATATAAAGATACTTATAAAAATACATTTGTATAAATAAGAAAAGTGACAGTGCATGTTTTGGGACACCTGAAGATCTATTCTTAACACTATTACATGTAATTTGTGATATATACTGTGTATGATATATATGAAATAGAACTCAAAATATATAATTTTACAAGCATTTAGAAACAATGAATGGATGTAAAGAAAGAAAAAATGCTGTCGATAATTATATTAAAAAGATGAAAGGAAGAAAAAAAAAGAAGAATTTATGTTCTTTTGGCCTCATATTTGAAAGAGGAATAGTTAACAGACATGAAGATAAAGATACACTTACAAGCAAAAGACCTGGACTTCACTTAATTTCAGGCCACTGCATAGTACTAATTACTAAGCCTCTATGTTACGGGGCACCCACAGTATATATTTAAATGTTTTGCCCATGCATTGTCAGGCTAATTTTTTTATTGGTGATTTAATTAACCGGATGCTTAAAATTGTTTGTGTCATTCTGTTCAGGGCAGGGTCATTCCCACCCGAAAATATTTTAATGTAGATAAAAACATACTAGAGCTACTCTTTCTGATGTGTCCAACTAAAGTGCACCTGAACAAACCCAACAACCCTTATAAATAATAACATATCAGATTTCTGCTGACATTACATTTTTTTCATTTCATTATTAAAAGAGATCGTGTTCTGCTGGCCTTTCACATGGAAACCAGCACAGATGCTATTGCTGGCTTGATAGAAGGCATAACAACAGCAGCAGGAGGAAAGCAATTCTGGGATTAATCTTGTGGGATACTCCACTTGAAACTGTAGTTGTAGGTACAACAGTTGTAGCTGAAGCAGTAGTGGAACTAGTAGTCAGTGCAGCAGTAGTGGAACTAGTAGTCGGTGCAGCAGTAGTGGAAGTGACAGTGGTTGGTAGAGGTGTGGTGGAATTGTCCGTGACAATGACAGGAACTATAAAATATTTTTCAAAAATAGATTAATATATATTTCTGTACAGACTAAAATAATTTATTTATCACTGATTAATTACCAAACTAACTTTTGTTTGCATTTTCTAATACTCACCAGAAGTTACTGATACTGTCTCAGGAACTATTTGGATGGTGAAATTAATGCTGGAACTGTTAATAGCATCTTTTAAAGCTTGAACAATAGTAATATTTTCTGGGACTTGTGCATTGGGAATTGTTTGATTGAACACAAGCTCCACCAATGCCTCAGTTCTATCCACTCGTTTTTGGACTATAACAGATCTGTGTCATGAAAGAGAGTGAGGCAGATGTTACATGTCACTTTTAACATTCAAAATGAAATTTAATTAATAAGTGTGTGAAAAATAACCAGTGTTAAAAAACATGTACCTGAACCGAATCACAATGGCACGGATGAAGTTAGCAAATTGTGCTCTGTATATTCTATCACACTGCAAAAAATAAACACAAAAAGAAAATTTAAACCAGGTGAAACAACTTCAAAATTACATTTTCTAAAAACCCTTATTTAAAATATATGATTTGAAATACATCTATCTTTTGCTTCTAGATTTGTTCTCTTGATACTGTTTCAGTCAACATGTAATTTGTATTAAGTTCAAACATTACTCACTGTCTCTTCAACTCGTTTTTTGCGATCTTGATATGCAATGCTGTTGGGGTCTTCGAGATCAGGTACATATGGTTCAAGGAACTGTAGAAACAGAACAATTTGGACAGGTCCAGTTGGTGCTTTTGTAGTTGGGATAGTGGTTGGAGTTGCTGCAACTGTTGTTGTAGTTGCAGTTGTTTCTGGTGGAGTGGCTGTTGTTGGAGCAGTGTCACTGATGTTGATGGAGGCCCTTTCGATGTCAAAGCCGCTCACATTTGAGGCTTGACCGATCAAAACATTCCTAATCTCAGTGTAGTTTGGGACAGAAAAGTTTACAAACTGAAGTTCCATGGTGTTGATGACTGATCCCTTCCTGCAAATGCAGAAACACAAGTTATTGTTTTGAATATTAGCTTTTTAGGTCAGTGCCCTACATGATATGTCAAAATATGGAAATTACCTGAAGCTCACCACATCCAAGGAGACAAAGGAAGAGGGGAAGGCCTTACTGTAAACAGGTTGAATCTACACACACAAAAGAGATTTTCTTAAAACTATTTTTTCTGTTGTATTTTTTTAAATATTTGAAATACGTATGAACATTATAGACATTTTCTTGTGTGTGGAAAGTTCATCCCTTTGAATGAAGAATAACAAAACAGAAATTATATTGAACTGAAGAGCTCTGTAGGTATTGAAACAGACTGATGTGTTAGGATTACGGTCATGGTAGAGGTGCTTATGTAGTTAAACAAAAAAAATTAACATGAAAATATTGTTGGAAAAGGACATTAACCTAATACTGAGAGGAAATTAATTTCACAAAGGATTTTGGGAAAAACAGTTACTGACCTGTGTCTTTATCATTAAAGATCGACTTATAAAGGCTGCAGATGATGAATTCAACAAGTCTGTTTCAAAATTGCTCTGAAGTGATCTGAATGTGACATATCTCATTACTGTATCCCTGCCAGTTGTTGGAGGGATTGTTGTGTTTTGAACTGCTGTTGTGGTTGATGAAGGAGCGGTCATGGTGAATGGAAGGGCAGTGGTGGAGGGTGGGGCTTTGGTGGTTGATGGGGAAGGGGCCGTCACTGTTGGAGGTGCAGTCGTGGTTGTTGTTGCAGCTGTTATGGTTGTCAGAGATGCTGTTGTGGTTGTTGGAGCTGTGGTTGTTGGTGTTGCTGTTCTGGTTGTTGGAGCTGCAGTAATGGTTGTTGGTGCGGTGGTTATTGACGTTGGAGCTGTAGTTGTGGTTGTTGGAGCAGGTGCTGTGGTTAGTGGAGCTGCAGTTGTGGTTGTTGTTGCGGCTGTTATGGTTGTCAGAGCTGCTGTTGTGGTTGTTGGAGCTGTGGTTGTGGTTGTTAGTGTTGCTGTTGTGATGGTTGGAGATGCAGTCATGGTTGTTGCTGCGGCGGTTGTGCTTGCTGGAGCTGCAGTCGTGGTTATTGGAGCTGCAGACATGGTTGTTGGTGCGGCAGTTGTTGATGTTGGAGCTGTAGTTGTGGCTGTTGGAGCTGCAGTTGTGGTTGTTGGTGCGGCAGTTGTGGATATTGGAGCTGTAGGTGTGGTTGTTGGTGGGGCTGTTGTGGTTGTTGGTGCGGTGGTTGTTGAAGTTGGAGTTGTAATTGTGGTTGGTGGAGTGGCTGTTGTGGTTGTTGGAGCTGTGGTTGTGGTTGTTAGTGTTGCTGTTGTGATGGTTGGAGCTGCAGTCATGGTTGTTGGTGCGGCGGTTGTGCTTGCTGGAGCTGCACTCGTGGTTGTTGGAGCTGCAGTCGTGGTTATTGGAGCTACGGTCATGGTTGTTGGTGCGGTGGTTGTGGATGGTGGAGCTGTAGTTGTGGTTGTTGGAGAAGGTGCTGTGGTGGCTGGTGTTGGTGCGGCTGTTGTGGTTGTTGGAGCTGCAGTCGTGGTTGTTGGTGCGGCAGTTGTGGATATTGGAGCTGCAGTTGTGGTTGTTGGTGCGGCAGTTGTGGATATTGGAGCTGCAGGTGTGGTTGTTGATGCGGCAGTTGTGGATTTTGGAGCTGTAGGTGTGGTTGTTGCTGGGGCTGTTGTGGTTGTTGGTGCGGTGGTTGTTGAAGTTGGAGTTGTAATTGTGGTTGGTGGAGCGGCTGTTGTGGTTGTTGGAGCAGGTGTAGTGGTTGTCAGAGCTTGAGTCGTGGTTGTTGGTTCGGCTGTTGTGGTTGTTGGAGCAGGTGTAGTGGTCGTTGGCGCTGCAGTCGTGGTTGTTGGTGCGGCTGTTGTGGTTGTTGGAGTTGCAGTCGTGGTTGTTGGCGCTGCAGTCGTGGTTGTTGGTGCGGCTGTTGTGGTTGTTGGAGCTGCAGTCGTGGTTGTTGGTGCTGTTGTTATGGTTGTCGGAGCGGGTGTCGTGGTTGTTGAAGCTGCAGTCGAGGTTGTTGGTGCGGCTGTTGTGGTTGTTGGAGCTGTAGTTGTGGTTGTTGGTGCGGCTGTTGTGGATGTCGGTGCTGCTGTTGTGGTTGGTGGAGCTGCAGTCGTAGTTGTTGCCTCAGCTGTTGTGGATGTTGGTGCGGTGGTTGTTGAAGTTGGAGTTGTAATTGTGGTTGGTGGAGTGGCTGTTGTGGTTGTTGGAGCTGTGGTTGTGGTTGTTAGTGTTGCTGTTGTGATGGTTGGAGCTGCAGTCATGGTTGTTGGTGCGGCGGTTGTGCTTGCTGGAGCTGCACTCGTGGTTGTTGGAGCTGCAGTCGTGGTTATTGGAGCTACGGTCATGGTTGTTGGTGCGGTGGTTGTGGATGGTGGAGCTGTAGTTGTGGTTGTTGGAGAAGGTGCTGTGGTGGCTGGTGTTGGTGCGGCTGTTGTGGTTGTTGGAGCTGCAGTCGTGGTTGTTGGTGCGGCAGTTGTGGATATTGGAGCTGCAGTTGTGGTTGTTGGTGCGGCAGTTGTGGATATTGGAGCTGCAGGTGTGGTTGTTGATGCGGCAGTTGTGGATTTTGGAGCTGTAGGTGTGGTTGTTGCTGGGGCTGTTGTGGTTGTTGGTGCGGTGGTTGTTGAAGTTGGAGTTGTAATTGTGGTTGGTGGAGCGGCTGTTGTGGTTGTTGGAGCAGGTGTAGTGGTTGTCAGAGCTTGAGTCGTGGTTGTTGGTTCGGCTGTTGTGGTTGTTGGAGCAGGTGTAGTGGTCGTTGGCGCTGCAGTCGTGGTTGTTGGTGCGGCTGTTGTGGTTGTTGGAGTTGCAGTCGTGGTTGTTGGCGCTGCAGTCGTGGTTGTTGGTGCGGCTGTTGTGGTTGTTGGAGCTGCAGTCGTGGTTGTTGGTGCTGTTGTTATGGTTGTCGGAGCGGGTGTCGTGGTTGTTGAAGCTGCAGTCGAGGTTGTTGGTGCGGCTGTTGTGGTTGTTGGAGCTGTAGTTGTGGTTGTTGGTGCGGCTGTTGTGGATGTCGGTGCTGCTGTTGTGGTTGGTGGAGCTGCAGTCGTAGTTGTTGCCTCAGCTGTTGTGGATGTTGGTGCGGTGGTTGTTGGTGCAGCTGTTGTGGTTGTTGGAGCTGCAGTTGTTGGTGTGCCTGTTGTCATTGTTAGAGCTGCACTTGTGGTTGTTGGAGCCGCACTTGTGGATGTTGGTGCGGCTGTTGTGGTTGTTGGAGCCGGTGTTGTGGTTGTTGGAGCGGGTGTTGTGGTTGTTGGAGCGGCTGTTGTGGTTGTTGGAGCGGGTGTTGTGGTTGTTGGAGCTTCATTTGTGGTTGTTGGTGCTTCATTTGTGGTTGTTGATGCGGCTGTTGTGGTTGTTGGAGCTGCAGTCGTGGTTGTTGATGCTGCAGTCGTGGTTGTTGGTATGGCTGTTGTGGTTGTTGGTGAAGGTGTTGTGGTTGTCGGAGCTGCAGTGGTGGTCGTTGGTGCGCTTGTTGTTGTTGTGGGCGCTGCAGTAGTGGTTGTTGGTGCGGATGTTGTGGTTGTTGGAGCGGGTGTCATGGTTGTTGTAGCTGTAGTCGTGGTTGTTTGTTCTCCGGTCGTGGTTGTTGGAGCTGCAGTCGTGGTTGTTGGTATGGCTGTTGTGGTTGTCGGTGAAGGTGTTGTGGTTGTGGGCGCTGCAGTAGTGGTTGTTGGTGCGGATGTTGTGGTTGTTGGAGAGGGTGTCATGGTTGTTGTAGCTGTAGTCGTGGTTGTTGGTGCGGCTGTTGTGGTTGTTGGAGCTGCAGTCGTGGTTGTTTGTTCTCCGGTCGTGGTTGTTGGAGCTGCAGTTGTGGTTGTCGGTCCAGCTGTTGTGGCTGTTGGAGCTGCAGTCGTGGTTGTTGGAGGTACATTCGTCGTTGTTGGTGTGGCTGTTGTGGATGTTGGTGTGGGTGTTGTGGTGGTTGGAGCTTCAGTCGTGGTTGTTGAGGCGGCTGTTGTGGTTGTTGGTGTGGCTGTTGTGGATGTTGTTGCTGCAATTGTAGTTGTTGGAGCCGCTGTTGTGGTTGTTGAAGCTTCAGTTGTGGTTGTTGGTGTGGCTGTTGTCGTTGTTGAAGCTGCAGTCGTGGTTGTTGGAGCTGCAGTTGTGGTTGTTGGAGCTGCAGTTGCGGTTGTTGGTGCGGCTGTTGTGGTTGTTGGAGCGGGTGTAGTGGTTGTTGGAGCTGCAGTAGTGGTTGTTGGAGCTGCAGTCGTGGTTGTTGGAGCAGCACTTGTGGTTGTTGAAGCTGCAGTGGTGGTTGTTGGTGCAGCTGTTGTGGCTGTTGGAGCGGGTGTAGTGGTTGTCGGAGCTGCAGTCGTGGTTGTGGGTGCGGCTGTTGTGGTTGTTGGTGCGGTTGTTGTGGTTGTTGGAGCTGCAGTTGTGGTTGTGGGTGCGGCTGTTGTGGTTGTTGGAGCTGTAGTAGTGGTTGTTGGTGCGGCTGTTGTGGTTGTTGGAGCTGCAGTTGTTGCTGTTGGACCGACTGTTGTGGTTGTTGGAGCTGCTGTTGTGGTTGTTGGTGCTGCTGTTGTGGTTGTTGGAGCTGCAGTCGGGGTTGTTGTTGCTGCTGTTGTGGTTGTTGGTACGGCTGTTGTGGTTGTTGGAGCTGCAGTCGTGGTTGTTGTTGCTGCTGTTGTGGTTGTTGGTGCTGCTGTTGTGGTTGTTGGAGCTGCAGTCGGGGTTGTTGGAGCTGCACTTGTGGTTGTTGGAGCTGCAGTCGTGGTTGTTGGTGCGGCTGTTGTGGCTGTTGGAGCGGGTGTAGTGGTTGTTGGAGCTGCAGTCGTGGTTGTGGGTGCGATTGTTGTGGTTGTTGGTGCGGCAGTCGTGGTTGTTGGAGCTTCAGTTGTGGTTGTTGGTGCGGCTGTTGTGGTTGTTTGTACTGCTGTTGTTGTTGTCGGAGCTGCAGTCGTGGTTGTTGTTGCTGCTGTTGTGGTTGTTGGTGCTGCAGTTGTGGTTGTCGGTCCAGCTGTTGTGGCTGTTGGAGCTGCAGTCGTGGTTGTTGGAGGTACATTCGTCGTTGTTGGTGTGGCTGTTGTGGATGTTGGTGTGGGTGTTGTGGTGGTTGGAGCTTCAGTCGTGGTTGTTGAGGCGGCTGTTGTGGTTGTTGGTGTGGCTGTTGTGGATGTTGTTGCTGCAATTGTAGTTGTTGGAGCCGCTGTTGTGGTTGTTGAAGCTTCAGTTGTGGTTGTTGGTGTGGCTGTTGTCGTTGTTGAAGCTGCAGTCGTGGTTGTTGGAGCTGCAGTTGTGGTTGTTGGAGCTGCAGTTGCGGTTGTTGGTGCGGCTGTTGTGGTTGTTGGAGCGGGTGTAGTGGTTGTTGGAGCTGCAGTAGTGGTTGTTGGAGCTGCAGTCGTGGTTGTTGGAGCTGCACTTGTGGTTGTTGAAGCTGCAGTGGTGGTTGTTGGTGCAGCTGTTGTGGCTGTTGGAGCGGGTGTAGTGGTTGTCGGAGCTGCAGTCGTGGTTGTGGGTGCGGCTGTTGTGGTTGTTGGTGCGGTTGTTGTGGTTGTTGGAGCTGCAGTTGTGGTTGTGGGTGCGGCTGTTGTGGTTGTTGGAGCTGCAGTAGTGGTTGTTGGTGCGGCTGTTGTGGTTGTTGGAGCTGCAGTTGTTGCTGTTGGACCGACTGTTGTGGTTGTTGGAGCTGCTGTTGTGGTTGTTGGTGCTGCTGTTGTGGTTGTTGGAGCTGCAGTCGGGGTTGTTGTTGCTGCTGTTGTGGTTGTTGGTACGGCTGTTGTGGTTGTTGGAGCTGCAGTCGTGGTTGTTGTTGCTGCTGTTGTGGTTGTTGGTGCTGCTGTTGTGGTTGTTGGAGCTGCAGTCGGGGTTGTTGGAGCTGCACTTGTGGTTGTTGGAGCTGCAGTCGTGGTTGTTGGTGCGGCTGTTGTGGCTGTTGGAGCGGGTGTAGTGGTTGTTGGAGCTGCAGTCGTGGTTGTGGGTGCGATTGTTGTGGTTGTTGGTGCGGCAGTCGTGGTTGTTGGAGCTTCAGTTGTGGTTGTTGGTGCGGCTGTTGTGGTTGTTTGTACTGCTGTTGTTGTTGTTGGAGCTGCAGTCGTGGTTGTTGTTGCTGCTGTTGTGGTTGTTGGTGCTGCTGTTGTGGTTGTTGGAACTGCAGTTGTGGTTGTTGGAGTGGGTGTAGTGGTTGTTGGTGAAGGTGTTGTGGTTGTCGGAGCTGCAGTGGTGGTTGTTGGTGCGGCTGTTGTGGTTGTGGGCGCTGCAGTAGTGGTTGTTGGTGCGGATGTTGTGGTTGTTGGAGCGGGTGTCATGGTTGTTGTAGCTGTAGTAGTGGTTGTTGGTGCGGATGTTGTGGTTTTTGGAGCTGCAGTCGTGGTTGTTTGTTCTCCGGTCGTGGTTGTTGGAGCTGCAGTCGTGGTTGTTGGTATGGCTGTTGTGGTTGTCGGTGAAGGTGTTGTGGTTGTCGGAGCTGCAGTGGTGGTCGTTGGTGCGCTTGTTGTGGTTGTGGGCGCTGCAGTAGTGGTTGTTGGTGCGGATGTTGTGGTTGTTGGAGAGGGTGTCATGGTTGTTGTAGCTGTAGTCGTAGTTGTTGGTGCGGCTGTTGTGGTTGTTGGAGCTGCAGTCGTGGTTGTTTGTTCTCCGGTCGTGGTTGTTGGAGCTGCAGTTGTGGTTGTCGGTCCAGCTGTTGTGGCTGTTGGAGCTGCAGTCGTGGTTGTTGGAGGTACATTCGTCGTTGTTGGTGTGGCTGTTGTGGATGTTGGAGCGGGTGTAGTGGTTGTCGGAGCTCCAGTCGTGGTTGTGGGTATGGCTGTTGTGGTTGTTGGTGCGGTTGTTGTGGTTGTTGGAGCTGCAGTTGTGGTTGTGGGTGCGGCTGTTGTGGTTGTTGGAGCTGCAGTAGTGGTTGTTGGTGCGGCTGTTGTGGTTGTTGGAGCTGCAGTTGTTGTTGTTGGAGCGACTGTTGTGGTTGTTGGAGCTGCAGTCGTGGTTGTGGGTGCAGCTGTTGTCGTTGTTGGAGCTGTAGTAGTGGTTGTTTGTGTGGCTGTTGTGGTTGTTAGAGCTGCAGTTGTGGTTGTTGGAGCGACTGTTGTGGTTGTTGGAGCTGCAGTCGTGGTTGTGGGTGCGGCTGTTGTGGTTGTTGGAGCGGGTGTAGTGGTTGTTGGAGCTGCAGTAGTGGTTGTTGGAGCTGCACTTGTGGTTGTTGGAGCTGCAGTTGTGGTTGTTGGTGCGGCTGTTGTGGCTGTTGGAGCGGGTGTAGTGGTTGTTGGAGCTGCAGTCGTGGTTGTGGGTGCGATTGTTGTGGCTGTTTGTGCGGCAGTCGTGGTTGTTGGAGGTACAGTCTTCGTTGTTGGTGCGGCTGTTGTGGATGTTGGTGCGGGTGTTGTGGTGCTTGGAGCTTCAGTCGTGGTTGTTTGTGCTCCAGTCGTGGTTGTTGGAGCTTCAGTTGTGGTTGTTGGTGCGGCTGTTGTGGTTGTTGGTACGGCTGTTGTGGTTGTTGGAGCTGCAGTCTTGGTTGTTGTTGCTGCTGTTGTGGTTGTTGGTGCTGCTGTTGTGGTTGTTGGAACTGCAGTTGTGGTTGTTGGTGTGGCGGTTGTGGTTGTTGGAGCTGCAGTCGTGGTTGTTGGAGCTGCAGTCGTGGTTGTTGGAGCTGCAGTTGTGGTTGTTGGTGCGGCTGTTGTGGTTGTTGGAGTGGGTGTAGTGGTTGTTGGAGCTGCAGTTGTGGTTGTTGGAGCTGCAGTTGTGGTCGTCGGTGCGGCTGTTGTGGTTGTTGGAGTTGCAGTTGTGGTCGTTGGAGGTACAGTCGTCGTTGTTGTATCTGTAGTTGGAGTTGTAGTTGTCGTAGTTGGATAAGTATCACTGACAGTGATGGAGGCTGTGTCAATGTCAAAACCTGTCACAATTGAGGCTTGACTGATCAAAACATCCCTAATATCATTGTGATTTGGAACCGGTGACTCAAATTGAAGCTCCATGGTGTTGATGACTGATCCCTTCCTTTAAATGAGACAAAAATTAGAGTTTTTGAACATTTAGGGCTTTAGGTTAGTGCTCTTAACATCAAATGTCAAAATAATGAAATTACCTGAAGTTGACAACGGCCAAGGAGCGAAACGAAGGAAATGCCCTTTTGTAAGCAGGTTCAATCTGCAGTCACAAAACGATTTTCTTAAAACAATGTTTATCTGTTTGTAAAAGTGACAAATTGTGCAGCAAAATATCAAAAAAGGAGACATATTAAAAGAGGAAATCTAAGAACTTTCCCTCTATAGTGAGTAGTTTTGATGGTTCAGTCCAAAGACAGGACTTGCGATATGAAGTTTTTATCCTTGTGATACATCATGACTTAACCTGTCCTTTAAGATCAGCAATATCATTCCTTTTTTTCCCCTTTTTTTAAATGAGCCACTTGAGAAACAAATTTTTTGTAGCCCTATGCCGAGATGCTCAATTCAGTTGTGTTTAATGTAAAACAAGAATACTTTGTCAATTTTTTAATCAAAGATGGTGCTGCCACGTGCAGACGCCTTCCTGACTGCTCCGCTCAGACTATGCACCTTTTTAGTTGTTTGCTTATTTTTTGCTCTGGTTTACATCCCAAAATCCTCTAGTTTTATAGCCAGAGTCCTTAGAGAGAACCCATGTTTAAATAAAGAAAACATGCAATTTCCACACAGAAAGATCCCAGAGTCAAACTTTTTTTGCAAGGAAGAAACACCGCTTACCAAGAGTCCACTGAGCTACCGTTTTGTATAAACCATGCATGTGGATTTTTTGTGTGTCAGAGGTTCAAAGCCTTTCATATTAAAGTACTTAAAATTCTGCACGCATTTTTGAAGTGTTTCTTCCTCACTCGGGGAGAGAAATGTAGTGTGTTTAATGTTGAATAAATGCAATAAAGTGAGGTTCAATGCATGAGTTTGAGATGCAAAAGACAGTAGACAGTTGAGTGAAAGAGAATATGCATCTGCGTTTGTTAAACTTCATCGCTGAAAATCTTTGTTCAAATATAAAGTGCTTTGGCACCAGTAAAAACGTCTTCAAAAAACTTAAAGAAGTCCAGACGCTTTTCTTTGCAAGCTCCTTTGACTACGATGACCTGGATGACTGAGAACCTTCACAGACATACCACCGGTAAAAACAGACTCCAGAAAAAACAAGCTCAAAAACACTCGATGTATAAAGCTTAGAAAAAAAAACTTTAAAAGGTTGGAAGCAAAGGTTAAGTAGTTGACTTGTTTTTGGTTTTTTTAAAAAGTATTTTGTGTTTTAATGGGTATTCCTAAGAATTAACCTTGATATTGCTTTCCACAGAGTAGGCAAGCAGCGTTAGACAACAGTCTAGACAGCAGTGAAAAATTACCTGATTCTTGATTGATGCAGCTCGGTTTGTAAAAGCTTCAGATGACGAATCTGACAGGTCACTTGTAAAAGTGCTTTGTATGGATCGGAAAACAACATATCTAGTCGTTGTAGTTGGTGCAGGTGTCGTGGTTGTTGGTGCGGCTGTTGTGGTTGTTGGAACTGCAGTTGTGGTTGTTGGTGCGGCTGTTGTGGTTGTTGGAGCGGGTGTAGGGGTTGTTGGAGCTGCAGTCGTGGTTGTTGTTGCTGCTGTTGTGGTTGTTGGTGCTGCTGTTGTGGTTGTTGGAACTGCAGTTGTGGTTGTTGGTGGAGCTGTTGTGGTTGTTGGAGCTGCAGTCGTGGTTGTTGGAGTTGCAGTAGTGGTTGTTGGAGCTGCAGTCGTGGTTGTTGGAGCTGCAGTCGTGGATGTTGGTGTGGCGGTTGTGGTTGTTGGAGCTGCAGTCGTGGTTGTTGGGGCTGCAGTCGTGGTTGTTGGAGCTGCAGTTGTGGTTGTTGGTGCGCCTGTTGTGGTTGTTCGAGCGGGTGTAGTGGTTGTTGGAGCTGCAGTTGTGGTTGTTGTTGCTGCTGTTGTGGTTGTTGGTGCTGCTGTTGTGGTTGTTGGAACTGCAGTTGTGGTCGTTGGAGCGACTGTTGTGGTTGTTGGAGCTGCAGTCGTGGTTGTGGGTGCAGCTGTTGTGGTTGTTGGAGCTGCAGTTGTGGTTGTTGGTGCGGCTGTTGTGGTTGTTGGAGCGGGTGTAGTGGTTGTTGGACCTGCAGTCGTGGTTTTTGGAGCTGCAGTCGTGGTTGTTGTTGCTGCTGTTGTGGTTGTTGGTGCTGCTGTTGTAGTTGTTGGAACTGCAGTTGTGGTTGTTGGTGCGGCTGTTGTGGTTGTTGGAGCTGCAGTCGTGGTTGTTGGGGCTGCAGTTGTGGTTGTTGGAGCTGCAGTTGTGGTTGTTGGTGCGGCTGTTGTGGTTGTTGGAGCTGCAGTCGTGGTTGTGGGTGCTGCTTTTGTGGTTGTTGGTGCAACTGTTGTGGTTGTTGGAGCTGCAGTCGTGGTTGTGGGTGCGGCTGTTGTGGTTGTTGGAGCTGCAGTCGTGGTTGTGGGTGCGGCTGTTGTGGTTGTTGGAGCTGCAGTTGTGGTTGTGTGTGGCTGTTGTGGTTGTTGGAGCTGCAGTTGTGGTTGTTTGTGTGGCTGTTGTGGTTGTTGGAGCTGCAGTTGTGGTTGGTGGAGCAACTGTTGTGGTTGTTGGAGCTGTAGTCGTGGTTGTTGGAGCTGCAGTTGTGGTTGTTTGTGCGCCTGTTGTGGTTGTTGGTGCTGCTGTTGTGGTTGTTGGAGCTGCAGTTGTGGTTGTTGGAGCGACTGTTGTGGTTGTTGATGCGGCTGTTGTGGTTGTTGGAGCTGCACTCGTGGTTGTGGGTGCAGCTGTTGTTGTTGTTGGAGCTGCAGTAGTGGTTGTTTGTGTGGCTGTTGTGGTTGTTAGAGCTGCAGTTGTGGTTGTTGGAGCGGCTGTTGTGGTTGTTGGAACTGCAGTTGTGGTTGTTGGTGCGGCTGTTGTGGTTGGTTGTTGGAGCTGCAGTAGTAGTTGTTGGAGCTGCATTCGTGGTTGTTGGTGCGGCAGTCATGGATGTTGGTGCAGCTGTTGTGGTTGTTGGAGCTGCAGTTGTGGTTGTTGGTGTGGCTGTTGTGGTTGTTGGAGCGGGTGTAGTGGTTGTTGGAGCTGCAGTCGTGGTTGTTGGAGTTGCAGTTGTAGTTGTTGGAGCTGCAGTCGTGGTTGTTGGGGCTGCAGTTGTGGTTGTTGGAGCTGCAGTTGTGGTTGTTGGTGCGGCTGTTGTGGTTGTTGGAGCTGCAGTTGTGGTTGTTGGAGCGACTGTTGTGGTTGTTGGAGCTGCAGTCGTGATTGTGGGTGCAGCTGTTGTCGTTGTTGGAGCTGCTGTAGTGGTTGTTTGTGTGGCTGTTGTGGTTGTTGTTGCTGCACTTGTGGTTGTTGGAGCGACTGTTGTGGTTGTTGGAGCTGCAGTCGTGGTTGTTGGTGCGGCTGTTGTGGACGTTGGTGCGGGTGTTGTGGTTGTTGGAGCTGCAGTTGTGGTTGTTTGTGCTCCAGTCGTGGTTGTTGGAGCTGCTGTTGTGGTTGTTGGAACTGCAGTCGTGGTTGTGGGTGCAGCTGTTGTCGTTGTTGGAGCTGCAGTAGTGGTTGTTTGTGTGGCTGTTGTGGTTGTTGGAGCGACTGTTGTAGTTGTTGGAGATGTAGTCGTGGTTGTTGGTGTGGCTGTTGTGGACGTTGGTGCGGCTGTTGTGGTTGTTGGAGCTGCAGTTGTGGTTGTGGGTGCGGCTGTTGTGGTTGTTGGTGCTGCTGTTGTGGTTGTTGGAACTGCAGTTGTGGTTGTTGGAGCGACTGTTGTGGTTGTTGGAGCTGCAGTCGTGGTTGTGGGTGCGGCTTTTGTGGTGGTTGGTGCGGCTGTTGTGGTTGTTGGAGCTGCAGTTGTGGTTGTTGGAGCTGCAGTCGTGGTTGTGGGTGCAGCTGTTGTGGTTGTTGGAGCTGCAGTCGTGGTTGTTGGAGCGGCTGTTGTGGTTGTTGGAGCTGCAGTAGTGGTTGTTTGTGTGGCTGTTGTGGTTGTTGGAGCTGCAGTTGTGGTTGTTGGAGCGACTGTTGTCGTTGTTGGAGCTGCAGTCGTGGTTGTGGGTGCGGCTGTTGTGGTTGTTGGAGTGGGTGTAGTGGTTGTTGGAGCTGCAGTTGTTGTTGTTGGAGCTGCAGTTGTGGTTGTCGGTGCGGCTGTTGTGGTTGTTGGAGCTGCAGTCGTGGTCGTTGGAGGTACAGTCGTCGTTGTTGTATCTGCAGTTGGAGCTGTAGTTGTCGTAGTTGGATAAGTATCACTGACAGTGATGGAGGCTGTGCCAATGTCAAAACCTGTCACAATTGAGGCTTGACTGATCAAAACATCCCTAATATCATTGTGATTTGGAACCGGTGACTCAAATTGAAGTTCCATGGTGTTGATGACTGATCCCTTCCTTTAAATGAGACAAAAATTAGAGTTTTTGAATATTTAGGGCTTTAGGTTAGTGCTCTTAACATCAAATGTCAAAATAATGAAATTACCTGAAGTCGACAACGGCCAAGGAGCGAAACGAAGGAAATGCCTTTTTGTAAGCAGGTTCAATCTGCAGTCACAAAACGATTTTCTTATAACAATGTTTATCTGTTTGTAAAAGTGACAAATTGTGCAGCAAAATATCAAAAAAGGAGACATATTAAAAGAGGAAATCTAAGAACTTTCCCTCTATAGTGAGTATTTTTGATGGTTCAGTCCAAAGACAGGACTTGCGATATGAAGTTTTTATCCTTGTGATACATCATGACTTAACCTGTCCTTTAAGATCAGCAATATCATTCCTTTTTTTCCCCTTTTTTTAAATGAGCCACTTGAGAAACAAATTTTTTGTAGCCCTATGCCAAGAAGCTCAATTCAGTTGTGTTTAATGTAAAACAAGAATACTTTGTCAATTTTTTAATCAAAGATGGTGCTGCCACGTGCAGACGCCTTCCTGACTGCTCCGCTCAGACTATGCACCTTTTTAGTTGTTTGCTTATTTTTTGCTCTGGTTTACATCCCAAAATCCTCTAGTTTTATAGCCAGAGTCCTTAGAGAGAACCCATGTTTAAATAAAGAAAACATGCAATTTCCACACAGAAAGATCCCAGAGTCAAACTTTTTTTGCAAGGAAGAAACACCGCTTACCAAGAGTCCACTGAGCTACCGTTTTGTATAAACCATGCATGTGGATTTTTTGTGTGTCAGAGGTTCAAAGCCTTTCATATTAAAGTACTTAAAATTCTGCACGCATTTTTGAAGTGTTTCTTCCTCACTCGGGGAGAGAAATGTAGTGTGTTTAATGTTGAATAAATGCAATAAAGTGAGGTTCAATGCATGAGTTTGAGATGCAAAAGACAGTAGACAGTTGAGTGAAAGAGAATATGCATCTGCGTTTGTTAAACTTCATCACTGAAAATCTTTGTTCAAATATAAAGTGCTTTGGCACCAGTAAAAACGTCTTCAAAAAACTTAAAGAAGTCCAGACGCTTTTCTTTGCAAGCTCCTTTGACTACGATGACCTGGATGACTGAGAACCTTCACAGACATACCACCGGTAAAAACAGACTCCAGAAAAAACAAGCTCAAAAACACTCGATGTATAAAGCTTAGAAAAAAAAACTTTAAAAGGTTGGAAGCAAAGGTTAAGTAGTTGACTTGTTTTTGGTTTTTTTAAAAAGTATTTTGTGTTTTAATGGGTATTCCTAAGAATTAACCTTGATATTGCTTTCCACAGAGTAGGCAAGCAGCGTTAGACAACAGTCTAGACAGCAGTGAAAAATTACCTGTTTCTTGATTGATGCAGCTCGGTTTGTAAAAGCTTCAGACGACGAATCTGACAGGTCACTTGTAAAAGTGCTTTGTATGGATCGGAAAACAACATATCTAGTCGTTGTAGTTGGTGCAGGTGTCGTGGTTGTTGGTGCGGCTGTTGTGGTTGTTGGAACTGCAGTTGTGGTTGTTGGTGCGGCTGTTGTGGTTGTTGGAGCGGGTGTAGTGGTTGTTGGAGCTGCAGTCGTGGTTGTTGGTGCTGCTGTTGTGGTTGTTGGAACAGCAGTTGTGGTTGTTGGTGGAGCTGTTGTGGTTGTTGGAGCTGCAGTCGTGGTTGTTGGAGTTGCAGTAGGGGTTGTTGGAGCTGCAGTCGTGGTTGTTGGAGTTGCAGTAGTGGTTGTTGGAGCTGCAGTCGTGGATGTTGGTGCGGCTGTTGTGGTTGTTGGTGCGCCTGTTGTGGTTGTTCGAGCGGGTGTAGTGGTTGTTGGAGCTGCAGTTGTGGTTGTTGTTGCTGCTGTTGTGGTTGTTGGTGCTGCTGTTGTGGTTGTTGGAACTGCAGTTGTGGTCGTTGGAGCGACTGTTGTGGTTGTTGGAGCTGCAGTCGTGGTTGTGGGTGCAGCTGTTGTGGTTGTTGGAGCTGCAGTTGTGGTTGTTGGTGCGGCTGTTGTGGTTGTTGGAGCGGGTGTAGTGGTTGTTGGAGCTGCAGTCGTGGTTGTTGGAGCTGCAGTTGTAGTTGTTGGAGCTGCAGTTGTGGTTGTTGGTGCGCCTGTTGTGGTTGTTGGAGCGGGTGTAGTGGTTGTTGGAGCTGCAGTCGTGGTTGTTGTTGCTGCTGTTGTGGTTGTTGGTTCTGCTGTTGTGGTTGTTGGAACTGCAGTTGTGGTTGTTGGTGTGGCGGTTGTGGTTGTTGGAGCTGCAGTCGTGGTTGTCGGGGCTGCAGTCGTGGTTGTTGGTGCAGCTGTTGTGGTTGTTGGAGCTGCAGTCGTGGTTGTGGGTGCTGCTTTTGTGGTTGTTGGTGCGGCTGTTGTGGTTGTTGGAGCTGCAGTCGTGGTTGTGGGTGCAACTGTTGTGGTTGTTGGAGCTGCAGTCGTGGTTGTTGGTGCGGCTGTTGTGGTTGTTGGAGCGGGTGTAGTGGTTGTTGGAGCTGCAGTCGTGGTTGTTGGAGCTGCAGTTGTAGTTGTTGTTGCTGCTGTTGTGGTTGTTGGTGCTGCTGTTGTGGTTGTTGGAACTGCAGTTGTGGTTGTTGGTGTGGCGGTTGTGGTTGTTGGAGCTGCAGTCGTGGTTGTTGGGGCTGCAGTCGTGGTTGTTGGAGCTGCAGACGTGGTTGTTGGAGCTGCAGTCGTGGTTGTTGGAGCTGCAGTTGTGGTTGTTGGAGCGACTGTTGTGGTTGTTGGAGCTGCAGTCGTGGTTGTGGGTGCGGCTGTTGTGGTTGTTGATGCGCTTGTTGTGGTTGTTGGTGCTGCTGTTGTGGTTGTTGGAACTGCAGTTGTGGTTGTTGGAGCGACTGTTGTGGTTGTTGGAGCTGCAGTCGTGGTTGTGGGTGCAGCTGTTGTGGTTGTTGATGCGCCTGTTGTGGTTGTTGGTGCTGCTGTTGTGGTTGTTAGAACTGCAGTTGTGGTTGTTGGAGCGACTGTTGTGGTTGTTGGAGCTGCAGTCGTGGTTGTGGGTGCGGCTGTTGCGGTTGTTGGTGCGGCTGTTGTGGTTGTTGGAGCTGCAGTCGTGGTTGTGGGTGCAACTGTTGTCGTTGTTGGAGCTGCAGTCGTGGTTGTGGGTGCGACAGTTGTGGTTGTTGGAGCTGCAGTTGTGGTAATTTGTGTGGCTGTTGTGGTTGTTGGAGCTGCAGTTGTGGTTGTTGGAGCGACTGTTGTGGTTGTTGGAGCTGCAGTCGTGGTTGTGGGTGCGGCTGTTGTGGTTGTTGGTGCGGCTGTTGTGGTTGTTGGAGCTGCAGTTGTGGTAATTTGTGTGGCTGTTGTGGTTGTTGGAGCTGCAGTTGTGGTTGTTGGAGCGACTGTTGTTGTTGTTGGAGCTGCAGTAGTGGTTGTTTGTGTGGCTGTTGTGGTTGTTGGAGCTGCAGTTGTGGTTGTTGGAGCGACTGTTGTGGTTGTTGGAGCTGCAGTCGTGGTTGTGGGTGCAGCTGTTGTCGTTGTTGGAGCTGCAGTAGTGGTTGTTTGTGTGGCTGTTGTGGTTGTTGTTGGTGCAGTTGTGGTTGTTGGAGCGACTGTTGTGGTTGTTGGAGCTGCAGTCGTGGTTGTGGGTGCAGCTGTTGTCGTTGTTGGAGCTGCAGTAGTGGTTGTTGGAGCGACTGTTGTTGTTGTTGGAGCTGCAGTAGTGGCTGTTTGTGTGGCTGTTGTGGTTGTTGGAGCTGCAGTTGTGGTTGTTGGAGCGACTGTTGTGGTTGTTGGAGCTGCAGTCGTGGTTGTGGTTGCAGCTGTTGTTGTTGTTGGAGCTGCAGTAGTGGTTGTTTGTGTGGCTGTTGTGGTTGTTGGAGCTGCAGTTGTGGTTGTTGGAGCGACTGTTGTGGTTGTTGGAGCTGCAGTCGTGGTTGTGGGTGCAGCTGTTGTCGTTGTTGGAGCTGCAGTTGTGGTAATTTGTGTGGCTGTTGTGGTTGTTGGAGCTGCTGTTGTGGTTGTTGGAGCGACTGTTGTGGTTGTTGGAGCTGCAGTCGTGGTTGTTGGTGCGGCTGTTGTGGTTGTTGGAGCTGCAGTCGTGGTTGTGGGTGCAACTGTTGTCGTTGTTGGAGCTGCAGTCGTGGTTGTGGGTGCGGCTGTTGTGGTTGTTGGAGCTGCAGTTGTGGTAATTTGTGTGGCTGTTGTGGTTGTTGGAGCTGCAGTTGTGGTTGTTGGAGCGACTGTTGTTGTTGTTGGAGCTGCAGTCGTGGTTGTTTGTGTGGCTGTTGTGGTTGTTGGAGCTGCAGTTGTGGTTGTTGGAGCGACTGTTGTGGTTGTTGGAGCTGCAGTCGTGGTTGTGGGTGCAGCTGTTGTGGTTGTTGGAGCTGCAGTAGTGGTTGTTTGTGTGGCTGTTGTGGTTGTTGTTGGTGCAGTTGTGGTTGTTGGAGCGACTGTTGTGGTTGTTGGAGCTGCAGTCGAGGTTGTTAGTGCGGCTGTTGTGGACGTTGGTGCGGCTGTTGTGGTTGTTGGAGCTGCAGTCGTGGTTGTTGGAGCGACTGTTGTGGTTGTTGGAACTGCAGTCGTGGTTGTTTGTGTTGCTGTTGTGGTTGTTGGAGTGACTGTTGTGGTTGTTGGAACTGCAGTCGTGGTTGTGGGTGCAGCTGTTGTGGTTGTTGGAGCTGCAGTAGTGGTTGTTTGTGTGGCTGTTGTGGTTGTTGGAGCGACTGTTCTAGTTGTTGGAGATGTAGTCGTGGTTGTTGGTGTGGGTGTTGTGGACGTTGGTGCGGGTGTTGTGGTTGTTGGAGCTGCAGTCGTGGTTGTTTGTGCTCCAGTCGTCGTTGTTGGAGCTGCAGTTGTGGTTGTTGGTGCGGCTGTTGTGGTTGTTGGAGCTGCAGTCGTGGTTGTTGGAGCTGCAGTTGTGGTTGTTGGAGCTGCAGTTGTGGTTGTCGGTGCGGCTGTTGTGGTTGTTGGAGCTGCAGTCGTGGTTGTTGGAGGTACAGTCGTCGTTGTTGTATCTGCAGTTGGAGCTGTAGTTGTTGTAGTTGGATAAGTATCACTGACAGTGATGGAGGTTGGGTCAATGTCAAAACCTGTCACAATTGAGGCTTGACTGATCAAAACATCTCTAATATCAGTGTCATTTGGAACCGGTGACTCAAATTGAAGTTCCATGGTGTTGATGACTGATCCCTTCCTTTAAATGAGACAAAAATTATAGTTTTTGAATATTTAGGGCTTTAGGTTAGTGCTCTTAACATCAAATGTCAAAATAATGAAATTACCTGAAGTTGACAACGGCCAAGGAGCGAAACGAAGGAAATGCCTTTTTGTAAGCAGGTTCAATCTGCAGTCACAAAACGATTGTCTTAAAACAATGTTTATCTGTTTGTAAAAGTGACAAATTGTGCAGCAAAATATCAAAAAAGGAGACATATTAAAAGAGGAAATCTAAGAACTTTCCCTCTATAGTGAGTATTTTTGATGGTTCAGTCCAAAGACAGGACTTGCGATATGAAGTTTTTATCCTTGTGATACATCATGACTTAACCTGTCCTTTAAGATCAGCAATATCATTCCTTTTTTTCCCCTTTTTTTAAATGAGCCACTTGAGAAACAAATTTTTTGTAGCCCTATGCCAAGAAGCTCAATTCAGTTGTGTTTAATGTAAAACAAGAATACTTTGTCAATTTTTTAATCAAAGATGGTGCTGCCACGTGCAGACGCCTTCCTGACTGCTCCGCTCAGACTATGCACCTTTTTAGTTGTTTGCTTATTTTTTGCTCTGGTTTACATCCCAAAATCCTCTAGTTTTATAGCCAGAGTCCTTAGAGAGAACCCATGTTTAAATAAAGAAAACATGCAATTTCCACACAGAAAGATCCCAGAGTCAAACTTTTTTTGCAAGGAAGAAACACCGCTTACCAAGAGTCCACTGAGCTACCGTTTTGTATAAACCATGCATGTGGATTTTTTGTGTGTCAGAGGTTCAAAGCCTTTCATATTAAAGTACTTAAAATTCTGCACGCATTTTTGAAGTGTTTCTTCCTCACTCGGGGAGAGAAATGTAGTGTGTTTAATGTTGAATAAATGCAATAAAGTGAGGTTCAATGCATGAGTTTGAGATGCAAAAGACAGTAGACAGTTGAGTGAAAGAGAATATGTATCTGCGTTTGTTAAACTTCATCACTGAAAATCTTTGTTCAAATATAAAGTGCTTTGGCACCAGTAAAAACGTCTTCAAAAAACTTAAAGAAGTCCAGACGCTTTTCTTTGCAAGCTCCTTTGACTACGATGACCTGGATGACTGAGAACCTTCACATACCACCGGTAAAAACAGACTCCAGAAAAAACAAGCTCAAAAACACTCGATGTATAAAGCTTAGAAAAAAAAACTTTAAAAGGTTGGAAGCAAAGGTTAAGTAGTTGACTTGTTTTTGGTTTTTTTAAAAAGTATTTTGTGTTTTAATGGGTATTCCTAAGAATTAACCTTGATATTGCTTTCCACAGAGTAGGCAAGCAGCGTTAGACAACAGTCTAGACAGCAGTGAAAAATTACCTGATTCTTGATTGATGCAGCTCGGTTTGTAAAAGCTTCAGATGACGAATCTGACAGGTCACTTGTAAAAGTGCTTTGTATGGATCGGAAAACAACATATCTAGTCGTTGTAGTTGGTGCAGGTGTCGTGGTTGTTGGTGCGGCTGTTGTGGTTGTTGGAACTGCAGTTGTGGTTGTTGGTGCGGCTGTTGTGGTTGTTGGAGCGGGTGTAGTGGTTGTTGGAGCTGCAGTCGTGGTTGTTGTTGCTGCTGTTGTGGTTTTTGGTGGAGCTGTTGTGGTTGTTGGAGCTGCAGTCGTGGTTGTTGGAGTTGCAGTAGTGGTTGTTGGAGCTGCAGTCGTGGTTGTTGGAGCTGCAGTCGTGGATGTTGGTGTGGCGGTTGTGGTTGTTGGAGCTGCAGTCGTGGTTGTTGGGGCTGCAGTCGTGGTTGTTGGAGCTGCAGTTGTGGTTGTTGGTGCGCCTGTTGTGGTTGTTCGAGCGGGTGTAGTGGTTGTTGGAGCTGCAGTTGTGGTTGTTGTTGCTGCTGTTGTGGTTGTTGGTGCTGCTGTTGTGGTTGTTGGAACTGCAGTTGTGGTCGTTGGAGCGACTGTTGTGGTTGTTGGAGCTGCAGTCGTGGTTGTGGGTGCAGCTGTTGTGGTTGTTGGAGCTGCAGTTGTGGTTGTTGGTGCGGCTGTTGTGGTTGTTGGAGCGGGTGTAGTGGTTGTTGGACCTGCAGTCGTGGTTTTTGGAGCTGCAGTCGTAGTTGTTGGAGCTGCAGTTGTGGTTGTTGGTGCGCCTGTTGTGGTTGTTGGAGCGGGTGTAGTGGTTGTTGGAGCTGCAGTCGTGGTTGTTGTTGCTGCTGTTGTGGTTGTTGGTGCTGCTGTTGTAGTTGTTGGAACTGCAGTTGTGGTTGTTGGTGCGGCTGTTGTGGTTGTTGGAGCTGCAGTCGTGGTTGTTGGGGCTGCAGTTGTGGTTGTGGGTGCTGCTGTTGTGGTTGTTGGTGCGGCTGTTGTGGTTGTTGGAGCTGCAGTCGTGGTTGTGGGTGCAACTGTTGTGGTTGTTGGAGCTGCAGTCGTGGTTGTGGGTGCGGCTGTTGTGGTTTTTGGAGTGGGTGTAGTGGTTGTTGGAGCTGCAGTAGTGGTTGTGGGTGCAGCTGTTGTCGTTGTTGGAGCTGCAGTAGTGGTTGTTTGTGTGGCTGTTGTGGTTGTTGGAACTGCAGTCGTGGTTGTGGGTGCGGCTGTTGTGGTTGTTGGAGCTGCAGTTGTGGTCATTTGTGTGACTGTTGTGGTTGTTGGAGCTGCAGTTGTGGTTGTTGGAGCGACTGTTGTGGTTGTTGGAGCTGCAGTCGTGGTTGTGGGTGCAGCTGTTGTCGTTGTTGGAGCTGCAGTAGTGGTTGTTTGTGTAGCTGTTGTGGTTGTTGGAGCTGCAGTCGTGGTTGTGGGTGCGGCTGTTGTGGTTGTTAGAGCTGCAGTCGTGGTTGTGGGTGCAGCTGTTGTCGTTGTTGGAGCTGCAGTAGTGGTTGTTTGTGTGGCTGTTGTGGTTGTTGTTGCTGCAGTTGTGGTTGTTGGAGCGACTGTTGTGGTTGTTGGAGCTGCAGTCGTGGTTGTTGGTGCGGCTGTTGTGGACGTTGGTGCGGCTGTTGTGGTTGTTGGAGCTGCAGTTGTGGTTGTTTGTGCTCCAGTCGTGGTTGTTGGAGCTGCTGTTGTGGTTGTTGGAGCTGCAGTTGTGGTTGTTGGAGCGACTGTTGTGGTTGTTGGAACTGCAGTCGTGGTTGTGGGTGCAGCTGTTGTGGTTGTTGGAGCTGCAGTCGTGGTTGTTTGTGTGGCTGTTGTGGTTGTTGGAGCTGCAGTCATGGTTGTTGGAGCTGCAGTTGTGGTTGTTGGAGCTGCAGTTGTGGTTGTCGGTGCGGCTGTTTCTGTTGTTGGAGCTGCAGTCGTGGTCGTTGGAGGTACAGTCGTCGTTGTTGTATCTGCAGTTGGAGCTGTAGTTGTCGTAGTTGGATAAGTATCACTGACACTGATGGAGGTTGGGTCAATGTCAAAACCTGTCACAATTGAGGCTTGACTGATCAAAACATCTCTAATATCAGTTTCATTTGGAACCGTTGACTCAAATTGAAGTTCCATTGTGTTGATGACTGATCCCTTCCTTTAAATGAGACAAAAATTAGAGTTTTTGAATATTTAGGGCCTTAGGTCAGTGCTCTTAACATCAAATGTCAAAATAATGAAATTACCTGAAGTTGACAACGGCCAAGGAGCGAAACGAAGGAAATGCCTTTTTGTAAGCAGGTTCAATCTGCAGTCACAAAACGATTGTCTTAAAACAATGTTTATCTGTTTGTAAAAGTGACAAATTGTGCAGCAAAATATCAAAAAAGGAGACATATTAAAAGAGGAAATCTAAGAACTTTCCCTCTATAGTGAGTAGTTTTGATGGTTCAGTCCAAAGACAGGAATTGCGATATGAAGTTTTTATCCTTGTGATACATCATGACTTAACCTGTCCTTTAAGATCAGCAATATCATTCCTTTTTTTCCCCTTTTTTTTAAATGAGCCACTTGAGAAAGAAATTTTTTTTAGCCCTATGCCAAGAAGCTCAATTTTTTAATCAAAGATGGTGCTGCAACATGCAGACGCCTTCCTGACTGCTCCGCTCAGACTATGCACCTTTTTAGTTGTTTGCTTATTTTTTGCTCTGGTTTACATCCCAAAATCCTCTAGTTTTATAGCCAGAGTCCTTAGAGAGAACCCATGTTTAAATAAAGAAAACATGCAATTTCCACACAGAAAGATCCCAGAGTCAAACTTTTTTTGCAAGGAAGAAACACCGCTTACCAAGAGTCCACTGAGCTACCGTTTTGTATAAACCATGTATGTGGATTTTTTTGTGTGCCAGAGGTTCAAAGCCTTTTAAATTATAGTACTTAAAATTCTGCACGCATTTTTGAAGTGTTTCTTCCTCACTCGGGGAGAGAAATGTAGTGTGTTTAATGTTGAATAAATCGTTAGCTTCATAGCATAATTGCCTAAGTCATTTGACTAAGTCAATGACTTAGGCACTTATGCTATGAAGCTAACGAAATGCAATAAAGTGAGGTTCAATGCATGAGTTTGAGATGCAAAAGACAGTAGACAGTTGAGTGAAGGAGAATATGTATCTGCGTTTGTTAAACTTCATCACTGAAAATCTTTGTTCAAATATAAAGTGCTTTGGCACCAGTAAAAACGTCTTCAAAAAACGTAAAGAAGTCCAGACGCTTTTCTTTGCAAGCTCCATTGACTACGATGACCTGGATGACTGAGAACCTTCAGACATACCACCGGTAAAAACAGACTCCAGACAAACAAGCTCAAAAACACTCGATGTATAAAGCTTAGAAAAAAAAACTTTAAAAGGTTGGAAGCAAAGGTTAAGTAGTTGACTTATTTTTGTTTTTTTTAAAAAGTATTTTGTGTTTTAATGGGTATTCCTAAGAATTAAACTTGATATTGCTTTCCACAGAGTAGGCAAGCAGCGTTAGACAACAGTCTAGACAGCAGTGAAAAATTACCTGATTCTTGATTGTTGCAGCTCGGTTTGTAAAAGCTTCAGACGACGATTCTGACAGGTCACTTGTAAAAGTGTCTGCTATGGATCGGAAAACAACATATCTAGTCGTTATGGTTGGTGGAGCTGCAGTCGTGGTTGTTGGTGCGGCTGTTGTGGTTGTTGGAGCTGCTGTTGTGGTTGTTGGAGCTTCTGTTGTGGTTGTTGGAGCTGCAGTTGTGGTTGTTGGAGTGGGTGTTGTGGTTGTTGGTGCAGCTGTTGTGGTTGTTGGAGCTGCAGTCGTGGTTGTTGGTGCTGCAGTTGTGGTTGTTGGAGCTGCAGTCGTGGTTGTTGGTGCAGCTGTTGTGGTTGTTGGAGTTGTAGTCGTGGTTGTTGGTGCAGCTGTCGTGGTTGTTGGTGCAGTGATTGTTGATGTTGGAGCAGGTGTAGTGGTTGTTGAAGCAGGTGTAGTGGTTGTTGGAGCTGCAGTCGTGGTTGTTGGAGCTGCAGTCATGGTTGTTGGAGCTGCAGTTGTGGTTGTTGGTGTGGCTCTTGTGGTTGTTGGAGAAGGTGTTGTGGTTGTTGGAGCTTCAGTCGTGGTTGTTGGTGTGGCTGTTGTGGTTGTTGTTGCTGCTGATGTGGTTGTTGGAGCGGGTGTTGTGGTTGTTGGTGCAGCTGTTGTGGTTGTTGGAGCTGCAGTCGTGGTTGTTGTTGCTGCAGTTGTGGTTGTTGGTGCAGTTGTTGTGGTTGTTGGAGTTGTAGTCGTGGTTGTTGGTGTGGCTGTCGTGGTTGTTGGAGCTGCAGTGATTGTTGATGTTGGAGCAGGTGTAGTGGTTGTTGAGGCAGGTGTAGTGGTTGTTGGAGCTGCAGTCGTGGTTGTTGGAGCTGCAATCGTGGTTGTTGGAGCTGTAGTCATGGTTGTTGGAGCTGCAGTTGTGGTTGTTGGTGCGGCTGTTGTGGTTGTTGGAGAAGGTGTTGTGGTTGTTGGAGCTGCAGTCGTGGTTGTTGGTGCGGCTGTTATGCTTGTTGGAGCTTCAGTCGTGGTTGTTGGTGCGGCTGTTGTGGTTGTTGTTGCTGCTGATGTGGTTGTTGGAGCGGGTGTTGTGGTTGTTGGTGCAGCTGTTGTGGTTGTTGGAGCAGCAGTCGTGGTTGTTGGTGCGGCGTTCGAGGTTGTTGGAGCTGCAGTCGTGGTTGTTGGTGCGGCTGTGGTGGTTGTTGGAGCTGCTGTTGTGGTTGTTGGAGCGGGTGTTGTGGTTGTTGGAGCTGCAGTTGTGGTTTTTGGAGCTGCAGTTGTGGTTGTTGGTGTGGCTGTTGTGGTTGTTGGAGCTGCAGTCGTGGTCGTTGGAGCTGCAGTCGTGGTTGTTGGAGCTGCAGTCGTGGTTGTTGGAGCTGCAGTCGTGGTTGTTGGTGCGGCTGTTGTGGTTGTTGGAGATGCAGTCATGGTTGTTGGTGCGGATTTTGTGGTTGTTGTTGCTGCAGTTGTGGTTGTTGGTGCAGTTGTTGTGGTTGTTGGAGTTGTAGTCGTGGTTGTTGGTGTGGCTGTCGTGGTTGTTGGAGCTGCAGTGATTGTTGATGTTGGAGCAGGTGTAGTGGTTGTTGAGGCAGGTGTAGTGGTTGTTGGAGCTGCAGTCGTGGTTGTTGGAGCTGCAATCGTGGTTGTTGGAGCTGCAGTCATGGTTGTTGGAGCTGCAGTTGTGGTTGTTGGTGCGGCTGTTGTGGTTGTTGGAGAAGGTGTTGTGGTTGTTGGAGCTGCAGTCGTGGTTGTTGGTGCGGCTGTTATGCTTGTTGGAGCTTCAGTCGTGGTTGTTGGTGCGGCTGTTGTGGTTGTTGTTGCTGCTGATGTGGTTGTTGGAGCGGGTGTTGTGGTTGTTGGTGCAGCTGTTGTGGTTGTTGGAGCAGCAGTCGTGGTTGTTGGTGCGGCGTTCGAGGTTGTTGGAGCTGCAGTCGCGGTTGTTGGTGCGGCTGTGGTGGTTGTTGGAGCTGCTGTTGTGGTTGTTGGAGCGGGTGTTGTGGTTGTTGGAGCTGCAGTTGTGGTTGTTGGAGCTGCAGTTGTGGTTGTTGGTGTGGCTGTTGTGGTTGTTGGAGCTGCAGTCGTGGTCGTTGGAGCTGCAGTCGTGGTTGTTGGAGCTGCAGTCGTGGTTGTTGGAGCTGCAGTCGTGGTTGTTGGTGCGGCTGTTGTGGTTGTTGGAGATGCAGTCATGGTTGTTGGTGCGGATTTTGTGGTTGTTGGTGCTGCTGTTGTGGTTTGTGGAGCTGCAGTCGTGGTTGTTGGTGATGAAATCGTGGTTGTTGGAGCTGCTGTCGTGGTTATTGGAGCGGGTGTTGTGGTTGTTGGTGCGGCTGTTGTGGTTGTTGGAGATGCAGTCGTAGTTGTTGGAGCTGCAGTTGTGGTTGTTGGTGCGGTGGTTGTTGATGTTGGAGCAGTAGTTGTTGGAGCGGGTGTTGTGGTTGTATGAGCTGCAGTCGTGATTGTTGGTGCGACTGTTGTGGTTGTTGGAGCTGCAGTCGTGGTCGTTGGATCCGCAGTTGTGGTTGTTGGTGCGGCTGCTGTGGTTGTTGCAGCGGGTGTAGTGGTTGTTGGAGCTGCAGTCGTGGTTGTTGGTGCTTCAGTTGTGGTTGTTGGAGCTTCTGTTGTGGTTGTTGGTGCGGCTGTCGTGGTCGTTGGTGCTGCTGTTGTGGTTGTTGGTGCTGCAGTTGTAGTGGTAGGTGTAGTAGTTGTAGCTGCAGTTGTAGTAGTTGGAGAAGTATCACTGACAGTGATGGAGGTTGGGTCAATGTCAAAATCTGTCACATTTTTGGCTTGAGTGATCAAAACATTGCTAATCCCAGTGTCATTTGGAACCGATGACTCAAATTGAAGTTCCATTGTGTTGATGACTGATCCCTCCCTTTAAATGAGACAAAAATTATAGTTTTTGAATATTTAGGGTTTTAGGTCAGTGCTCTTAACATCAAATGTCAAAATAATGAAATTACCTGAAGTTGACAACGGCCAAGGAGCGAAACGAAGGAAATGCCTTTTTGTAAGCAGGTTCAATCTGCAGTCACAAAACGATTTTCTTAAAACAATGTTTATCTGTTTGTAAAAGTGACAAATTGTGCAGCAAAATATCAAAAAAGACATATTAAAAGAGCAAATCTAAGAACTTTCCCTCTATAGTGAGTAGTTTTGATGGTTTACTCCAAAAACAGGACTCGGTATATGAAGTTTTTTTTCCTCGTGATGTCTCATGGCTTAACCCAGTGGTTCCCAAACTTTTTTTGCTAACCCCCCCTTTGTTTTACAAGAAAAATGTTCCCCCCCCCTCCGTGTGCACAAACACATCCTCCAGCCACACACACACCCATATTTTGCTCCATTGTGTCTTATTTCACACCTCAAACATTTAGTGAACAATTAAGCAAATACCAGCAATCTGCAATACATTACAGGTAGTAAGAAAATAAACTACTATCTTTTTTACCATACGTCCACACCTACAGGGGGATTTTTGAAAACGCAGCTGTTTCGTCCACACGTAAACGGCGTTTTGAATCACCGAAAACTGAAATTTTTTAAAAATCCTTTTTTGCATTTATGTGTTGACAAGGAATACAGAGTTCGTCACGCAACGTCAAAGATATGTGCCTTTTTTCACGTCACGCTGTGTGCCACGTTATTGTTTACATGAGATGAATTGCAGAATGGCAGACAGTCAGATTAACAGTATTTTGTCTCTATCTTCAGGTTTTACACGCTTACATATACACACGCAGTTACTGTCCCTCTATTTAGAAAGGCAGAGGCGTCACGGTGTAATTATTTTACATGTAGTTGTTTTTTTCCTGTATAATAATATTCAACATTGCTATCAATTCATTTTTCAAAAAATGCCTCTCTTTGCAAAATGGGTCTGAAAACATAAACAACTGTGGGATACTGTTTGTCCGTGATTTAGACAGGGAAAACAAATTGTGGCAGGATCAGCCTGATATTATTTGTATCCCACTGTAACTTTACTGTATAAAGAGCTAACATCTCCAAAATGTAGTCATTACAACAAGTGTTTGTGAACCAAAAATCAAGAATGTGGGATACTGTTTGTCCGTGATTGGAAGAGCCCAGTGCGTGCTCCCGACGAAGGGAAAACCAATTCTGCAGGGGAGACCTACCACTTGTGCAGGTGAAACCAAAGGGAACATATGCTTCACCATATTTTCTAGTCTTTGGTTTACAATGAAGTTGGTTTGGAAATATATTCAGCTATGCTTCATCTCCTGTTTTGCGTTTGTGTAGGCGCCCCGTGCTAGCAGTGTCCAAATGTTGTTTTTGTTTTTTTCCCTTTTCATACCACGCCCCCCCTGCAATGGCTCTGTGTCCCCCCTAGGGGGCGGGCCCCACACTTTGGGAAGGTCTGGCTTAATCTTTCCTTTAAGAAATTTTTTAGTCAAAGATGGCGTGGCCACGTCCAGATGCCTTCCTGACCGCTCCGCTTAGACTATGCACCTTTTTAGTCGTTATTATTATATTATATTATATTATATTATATTATATTATATTATATTATATTATATTATATTATATTATTTTTTGCTCTGGTTTACATTCCAAAATCCCTCTAGTTTTATAATCTACGATAGCAGATCACTTGTAAACATCGATGACAAGGTTGCACATTTAATCTTGGACACTTTTAAACCGGACCCATCCTGGCCGCCTGAGATACTACGCAGCGCAGTCAACAACAAAGGACGAGCCACTCACCCGAGGCGTAGAACAAATAAGCGCTGGGAGAAACGCGCTGGCGTTCAAAACAGACTAAGACAGCAGGCGCATCACGCACCACTGCCCAGCATCCTACTGGCCAATGTACAATCACTGGAAAACAAGCTCGATGACCTAAGAGCAAGAGTCACCTTCCAACATGACATAAGGTACTGCAACATTGTGTGCTGACGGAGAATTGGCTGACCCCCACCGTGCCGGACCAGACCACAACTCCATTGGATGGAGTGCTCTGTGCGGACAGAACGGCTGAGTCAAACAAAACCAAAGGTGGAGGAGTGTGTTTCATGGTAAACAGAAAGTGGTGTGATGCCAGGAGCATTTCTACTCTCTCCAGCGGCTGCTCTACACATCTGGAATTCTTGAACATTAAGTGCCGCCCTTTCTATCTGCCCTGTGAGTTCACCTCGGTCACCGCCATGTTGGTCTACATCCCACCCCAAGCGGGCATCGGCATGGCTTTGTCCGAACTACATGATGTGCTGAGCTCTGATGTGCTGAGTTTGTTTCAAAACAAGGACCCGGGCACAGCCCTCATTGTAGCAGGAGACTTTAATAAAGGGAATCTCGGAAAAGTCATGCTGAACTTCTACCAGCATGTCTCGTGTCCGACGAGGGGGGATCACCACTGGTGATATGAGTGCCTACAATGCGGCTTGATACGATGAGAGATGCCAAACGCCAGTATCAGGAGCGTGTGGAGTCTCGCTTCCACCAGGGCGACACACGGAGTACGTGGCACGGACTATGCACCATTACGAACTACAAAGCCAGGGACACTGCGCCGATCAATGCCGACTCTGCATTCACCAACGAGCTGAACCAGATCTACACCCTTAACGAGGTCAGGCAAGTGGCTAATGCTAACTACCCCCTGACAACCGAGAGATCGGTGATCAACATAGCGGAGCACGACGTCGGAGCGGCACTGAGGAGACTGAACACAAGGAAAGCGGCGGGGCCAGACATCATCACTGGCCGTCTGCTGTGCTAACCAGCTAGCACATGTGTTCACTTCCATCTTCAACGAGTCCCTGGCAAGGTTTGTGTTCCCCCCTTGCTTCAAGAGATCCACCATCATCCCTGTGCCCAAGAACTGCAAACCCTCATCCCTGAACGATTACCGGCCAGTAATGAAGTAATAAAGGTGTTCGAGAGGCTGCTGAAGAATACAATCTCCTCCTCCATCCCAGACACCACAGATCCGCATCAGTTTGCCTACTGTCCCAACAGATCCACAGAGGATGCCATCGGCAACATCCTTCACACTACGCTCAGCCACGTGGACAAGAAACAGGGTAACTATGTGAGAATGCTGTTTGTTGATTACAGTTCAGTGTTTAACAAAATAGTGCCCAGCAGACTGTTCATAAAGCTGAGGGATCTAGGACTCAACAGCTGTCTGTGTGCATAGGTGTTGGACTTCCTCACTGGCAGAACTCAGGTGGTGAGGGTGGGCAGATGCGTCTCTAACAGCATCACCATCGCTACAGGAGCACCACAGCAACGTGTCTGTGTGGCCACCCATGGCTCCAACACCATTGTGAAGTTTGCTGACGAAACAGTGGAGTTGGGCGCCATCTCCAGCAACGATGAGGTGGCCTACATGTATGAAGTGAAGAATCTGGCATCATGGTGCCAGGATAACCATCTCCAGCTGAACGTTGGCAAGACCAAGGAGCTGGTGGTGGATTTTGGAAGGAGTCAGCACAGACTACAAGCCATTACCATCAGTGGAGCTCCAGTGGAAAGGGTGCAGTCTCTGTGTCCACATCTGCTTAGACCTGACATGGTCTGCCCACATTCAGGTCCAGACCAAAAAGGCTAGGCAGCACCTGTATCACCTCTGAGGAAGTTCAGGGTCTCGCCAGAGATCCTCAGGACTTTCTATGCAGGTGCTGTGGAGAACATCCTCACACAGAACATCACGTCCTGGTTTGGGAACAGCTGTGTTAAAGACCAAAAAGCTCTTCAGAGAGTGATCCGTACAGCAGAACGCTGCTGCAGGATTGCTCTCCCTCCACTTTAGGAGACCTACACCAGGAGATGCCGGACAAAAGCAGTGCAGATACTGAAGGACCCATCCCATCCTGGCAACAAACTGTTCCAACTTCCGAAATCCGGCAGAAGGTTCGGCATCATCCGGGCAAGGACAGAGAGACTCAAGAGAAGCTTCTACACCGACCAAATGTACATTTAAAATTCTTTTTTTAATTTTAAATATGTTCATATTGTCTATTCTTATTTAATTCACTTAATTTACAGAATTCACCTGCTTGCTGCATACAATGCTTCTACTGCACATTCACCTAATGTATATAATATACAATCTTCTTCCTCGCATCCTGCTTTTGCAAAAGCCGAGGTTAACTTTCACTGCATGTTATACTTGTATAACTATACATATGACGAATAAAGAATCTTGCATTTTGAATTCAATCTTGAATACTTGATCAGAATTTCCAGAAACCATCCATGCACTTTTTCCAGCTACAATAGCATGAGAGGCAAGGTATACCCAACAACAACCACATCTGTGTTAGCAACGTGCCAGCTTGTCACATGGCTATCACAAAGAGGAAGACTACCATTTACACTCAAATAGACACATGCGAAAGACTGTGAATACTTAGAAACCTTTTTCATTTTGTCATAATGAGGTATTGTTTGTAGAACTTTGAAGTGAAAATTATATATAATCCATTTGAAATTAGGCTGTAAAATGACAAAATATGAAACAAGTCAAAAGCTGTGAAACCTTTCAAGATACAATGGTATGGGCAATTTAGAATTACCAAGTAAGTATGTTTAAATAAAGAGAACATGCAATTTCCACACAGAAAGATCCCAGAGTCAAACTTATTTTGCAAGGACGAAATAGCGCTTACCAAGAGTCCACTGTGCTACCGTTTTGTATAAACCATGTATGTGGATTTTTTTGTGTGTCAGAGGTTCAAAGCCTTTTAAATTATAGTACTTAAAATTCTGCATGCACATTTGAAGTGTTTCTTCCTAACTCAGGGAGAGAAATGCAATGTGTTTAATGTTGAATAAATGCAATAAAGTGAGGTTCAATGCATGAGTTTGAGATGCAAAAGACAGCAGACAGTTGAGTGAAAGAGAATATGTATCTGCGTTTGTTAAACTTCATCACTGAAAATCTTTGTTCAAATATAAAGTGCTTTGGCACCAGTAAAAACGTCTTCAAAAAAATTAAAGAAGTCCAGACGCTTTTCTTTGCAAGCTCCATTGACTACGATGACCTGGATGACTGAGAACCTTCAGACATACCACCGGTAAAAACAGACTCCAGACAAAAAAGCTCAAAAACACTCGATGTATAAAGCTTAGAAAAAAAAACTTTTAAAGTTTTAAAAGGTTGGAAGCAAAGGTTATGAAGTTGAATTGTTTTTGGTTATTTCAAAAAGTATTTTGTGTTTGTGTTTTTGCTTTCCACAAAGTAGGCAAGCAGTGTTGCATTAGACAAAAGTGAAAAATTACCTGATTCTTGATTGATGCAGATCGCTTTCTAAAAGCATCAGACGACGAGTCTGACAGGTCACTTGTAAAACTGCTTTGTACGGATCGGAAAACAACATATTTAGTCGTTGTGGTTGGTGCAGGTGTCGTGGTTGATGTTGGAGCTGTAGTTGTGGTTGTTGGTGCGGCTGTTGTGGTTGTTGGAGCTGCAGTTGTTGGAGCTGTAGTTGTGGTTGTTGGTGCAGCTGTTGTGGTTGTTGGAGCTGCAGTCGTGGTTGTTGGTACGGTAGTTGTTGATGTAGGAGCTGTAGTTGTGGTTGTTGGTGCGGCTGTTGTGGTTGTGGAGGCTGCTATTATGGTTGTTGGAGAAGGTGTCGTGGTTGTTGGTACGGTAGTTGTTGATGTAGGAGCTGCAGTCGTGGTTGTTGGTGCGGCTGTTGTGGTTGTTGGAGCTGCAGTTGTTGGAGCTGCAGTCGTGGTTGTTGGAGCTGCTGTTGTGGTTGTTGGAACTGCTGTCGTGGTTGTTGAAACTGCTGTCGTGGTTGTTGGAACTGCTGTCGTGGTTGATGGAGGCGATGTTGTGGTTGTTGGAGCTGCAGTCGTGGTTGTTGGAGCTGCAGTTGTGGTTGTTGGTGCGGCTGTTGTGGTTGTAGGAACTGCTGTCGTGGTTGTTGGAGCGGGTGTTGTGGTTGTTGGAGCTGCAGTCGTGGTTGTTGGTGTGGCTGTTGTGCTTTTTGGAGCGGGTGTTGTGGTTGTTGGAGCTGCAGTCGTGGTTGTTGGAACGGGTGTTGTGGTTGTTGGAGCTGCAGTTGTTGGAGCTGCAGTCGTGGTTGTTGGTGCGGCTCTTGTGGTTGTTTCAGCTGCAGTTGTGGTTGTTGGTGCGGCTGTTGTGGTTGTTGGTGCAGCTGTTGTGGTTGTTGGCGATGCAGTCGTGGTTGTTGGAGCGGGTGTTGTGGTTGTTGGAGCTGCAGTCGTGGTTGTTGGTGCAGCTGTTGTGGTTATTGGAGATGCAGTCGTGGTTGTTGGAGCGGGTGTTGTGGTTGTTGGAACTGCTGTTGTGGTTGTTGGAGCTGCAGTTGTGGTTGTTGGTGCGGCTGTTGTGGTTGTTGGCGATGCAGTCGTGGTTGTTGGTGCTGGTGTTGTGGTTGTTGGAGCGGGTGTTGTGGTTGTTGGAGCGGGTGTTGTGGTTGTTGGAGCTGCAGTTGTGGTTGTTGGTGCTGTTCTTGTGGTTGTTGGTACTGCTGTCGTGGTTGTTGGAGCGGGTGTTGTGGTTGTTGGAGCTGCAGTCGTGGTTGTTGGTGCAGCTGTTGTGGTTATTGGAGATGCAGTCGTGGTTGTTGGAGCGGGTGTTGTGGCTGTTGGAACTGCTGTCGTGGTTGTTGGAGCTGCAGTCGTGGTTGTTGGTGCGGCTGTTGTGGTTGTTGGAGCTGCAGTTGTTGGAGCTGCAGTTGTTGAAGCTGCAGTCGTGGTTGTTGGTGCGGCTGTTATGGTTGTTGGAGCTGCAGTTGTTGGAGCTGCAGTCGTGGTTGTTGGTGCAGCTGTTGTGGTTGTTGGAGCTGCAGTTGTGGTTGTTGGAGCTGCAGTTGTGGTTGTTGGAACTGCAGTTGTGGTTGTTGGAGCTGCAGTTGTGGTTGTTGGTGCAGCTGGTGTGGTTGTTGGCGATGCAGTCGTGGTTGTTGGAGCGGGTGTTGTGATTGTTGGAGCTGCAGTCGTGGTTGTTGGTGCGGCTGTTGTGGTTGTTGGAGCTGCAGTTGTTGGAGCTGCAGTCGTGGTTGTTGGAGCTGCAGTCGTGGTTGTTGGAGCTGCAGTTGTGGTTGTTGGTGCGGCTGTTGTGGTTGTTGGCGATGCAGTCGTGGTTGTTGGAGCTGCAGTCGTGGTTGTTGGTGCGGTTGTTGTGATTGTTGGAGCTGCAGTTGTGGTTGTTGGAGCGGGTGTTGTGGTTGTTGGAGCTGCAGTTGTTGGAGCTGCAGTCGTGGTTGTTGGTGCGGCTGTTGTGGTTGTTGGTGCGGCTGTTGTGGTTGTTTCAGCTGCAGTTGTGGTTGTTGGTGCGGCTGTTGTGGTTGTTGGAGATGTAGTCGTGGTTGTTGGAGCTGCAGTTGTGATTGTTGTTGCGGCTGTTGTGGTTGTTGAAACTGCTGTCGTGGTTGTTGGAGCGGGTGTTGTGGTTGTTGGAGCTGCAGTCGTGGTTGTTGGAGCTGCAGTTGTTGGAGCTGCAGTCGTGGTTGTTGGTGCGGCTGATGTGGTTGTTGGAGCTGCAGTTGTTGGAGCAGTTGTGGTTTTTGGTGCGGCTGTTGTGGTTGTTGGAACTGCTGTCGTGGTTGTTGTAGCTGGTGTTGTGGTTGTTGTAGCTGCAGTCGTGGTTGTTGGAGCTGCAGTTGTGGTTGTTGGTGCGGCTGTCGTGGTTGTTGGAACTGCAGTCGTGGTTGTTGGTGTGCTTGTTGTGGTTGTTGGAGCTGCAGTCGTGGTTGTTCGTGCGGATGTTGTGGTTGTTGGCGATGCAGTCGTGGTTGTTGGTGTGCTTGTTGTGGTTGTTGGAGCTGCAGTCGTGGTTGTTGGTGCGGATGTTGTGCTTGTTGGCGATGCAGTTGTGGTTGTTGGTGCGGCTGTCGTGGTTGTTGGAACTGCAGTCGTGGTTGTTGGTGTGCTTGTTGTGGTTGTTGGAGCTGCAGTCGTGGTTGTTGGTGTGCTTGTTGTGGTTGTTGGAGCTGCAGTCGTGGTTGTTGGTGCGGATGTTGTGCTTGTTGGCGATGCAGTCGTGGTTGTTGGAGCGGATGTTGTGGTTGTTGGAGCTGCAGTCATGGTTGTTGGTGCGGCTGTTGTGGTTGTTGGAGCTGCAGTTGTGGTTGTTGGTGCGGCTGTTGTGGTTGTTGGATATGTAGTTGTGGTTGTTGGACGTGCAGTTGTGATTGTTGGTGCGGCTGTTGTCGTTGTTGGAACTGCTGTTGTGGTTGTTGGTGCGGATGTTGTGCTTGTTGGCGATGCAGTCGTGGTTGTTGGAGCGGATGTTGTGGTTGTTGGTGCGGCCGTTGTGGTCATTGGAGATGCAGCCGTGGTTGTTGGAGCGGGTGTTGTGGTTGTTGGAGCTGCAGTTGTTGGAGCTGCAGTCGTGGTTGTTGGAGATGCAGTTGTTGGAGATGTAGTCGTGGTTGTTGGAGCTGCAGTTGTGATTGTTGGTGCGGCTGTTGTGGTTGGTGGAACTGCTGTCGTGGTTGTTGGAGCGGGTGTTGTGGTTGTTGGAGCTCCAGTCGTCGTTGTTGGTGCAGCTGTTGTGGTTGTTTCAGCTGCAGTTTTGGTTGTTTGAGCTGCAGTTGTGGTTGTTGGTATGGCTGTCGTGGTTGTTGGGGCTGCTGTTGTGGTTGTTTGAGCGGCTGTTGTGGTTGTTGGAGCTGCAGTTGTGGTTGTTGGTGCGCTTGTTGTGGTTGTTGGCGCTTCAGTCGTGGTTGTTGGTGTGGCTGTTGTGGTTGTTGGAGGGGGTGTTGTGGTTGTTGGTGCCGCTGTTGTAGTTGTTGGAGCTGCAGTCGTGGTTGTTGGAGCTGCAGTCGTGGTTGTTGGAGCTGCTGTTGTGGTTGTTGGTGCTGCTGTTGTGGTTGTTGAGGCTGCTGTTGTGGTTGTTGGAGCTGCAGTCGTGGTTGTTGTACCTGCAGTCGTGGTTGTATCAGCTGTTGTGGTTGTTGTTGCTGCTTCCGTGGTTGTTGGAGCTGCAGTCGTGGATGTAGGTGTGGCTCTTGTGGTTGGTGGATTCGCCATCATCGTTGTTGGTGCAGCTGTTGTGGTTGTTTCAGCTGCAGTCGTGGTTGTTGGAGCTGCAGTCGTGGCTGTTGGAACTGCTGTTGTGGTTGTTGGGGCTGCAGTTGTGGTTGTTGGAGCGGGTGTTGTGGTTGTTGGGGCTGCTGTTGTGGTTGTTGGTGCGGCTGTTGTGATTGTTGGCGCTGCAGTCGTGGTTGTTGGTGCGGCTGTTGTGGTTGTTGGAGCTGCAGTCGTGGTTGTTGGAGTTGTAGTTGTGGTTGTTGGTGCTGCTGTTGTGGTTGTTGGGGCTGCTGTTGTGGTTGTTGGAGCTGCAGTTTTGGTTGTTGGAGCGGCTGTTGTGGTTGTAGGAGCTGCAGTCGTGGCTGTTGTACCTGCAGTGGTGGTTGTATCAGCTGTTGTGGTTGTTGGAGCTGTTTCCGTTGTTGTTGGAGCTGCAGTCGTGACTGTTGGTGTGGCTGTTGTGGTTGGTGGATTTTCCATCATCGTTGTTGGTGCAGCTGTTGTGGTTTTGCAACATGTGATAGTTATTGTAGTTGTTTTGATACACATTTTTTGCATCCCTGAATCTCCATTTGCCAAAACATTATTTGATATTCAGAAGTTTGATATATTAAAATTTTCATTCTTCCAAATAAATTCTTCCTGTTTGTTGTACACAGATATATTTCCCTTTCTATGTTCAGTAAATTCCATTTTCTTGTCTACTTTCTATTAATCAGGTTATCAGTATTAGGAGCCATTTGATTTCTTTTGTGATCTTATGAACCAAAGTCGTATGTTGGAATGCAACGGGACTTCCGAGTTGCACTGATTGGGACATATGGATTGTTTCTGTATAATGCTGTAGTTGACTGGAGTTATTCTTATAAAACATGTTCTTTTTTTCCTTTTTTTTTTTGTTCTCCTAGGTCAGGGTCGGCAACCTGCGGCTCTTTAGTCCTTATAGTGCAGCTTCGCGTGGTTTGGGAAAATAAATTAGAAGTATTTAGCTGAAGTGTTTTTTATTTATGTTACTTTCTTTTAAACTTGTAGTTCTAAATTGGAAGATTATTGTGACATTGAGATATAAAAATAAAATTCTATTTTATTATTTTTTCTTTGCTCAAAATAAGTGTCACATTCGCGGAAGCCGGTATGCCTGACGAAATGCCGTGCATTTATCGAGACTTTCAACCCCAGGTAGGCCAGTTATGAATCTTCGGATCCACATTGTCAACAGCTACTCTCCACCGTGAACTATGTTAAAAAGAAACACCGCTCACGCCTCACAGATGGCAGCTTACAGTCCTGCGTAAAGATGAAAGTACAGCCTCGATTTGCAGACGCTGTGCGCATACAGCCGGCTGTAGCTTTTCAGCTCACAGCCCGACACATACCAACACAACAGCATAGATAGCACAGACGTTAAGGCTGCGAGGCGTGATAGCGGGTGCCGCTCAGGTGCGTCCGCCTCCCCTGCAGCGGTGCTGCAGACCACGCCCCACCACACACATTAACCTGGTAAAATACATATTTAGGCAGAATTTTGCAAATATCTATTTTTCATATTTTAGCAGCATAGTGCTTTTTTTTCCAATTATTTTTTAAAGTCAGGTCAAGTCTCCAAAAGCCCAAAGGTCAGGCGGCTCACAACAGTTTTTGTTTGCTACATGGATCATTTCAGTTCAGCTGGGTGTCTGTCCTTTTGTTATATTTCTTTAAGAGTTCAAAATGTGTTCATTACATAAATAAAATTTAATTTTCTCTGTAGCACTTCATGGATTTCATAAGCAACACACCTTAGTTGTTCACACAAAGCATAAAGGTAAAAACCAATATATACAGTGTTATCTTCATTTTAGATCTCAAAAAGTATTTGCGGCTTGCGGTGTTTTCTTTTGCGTGGAAACCGGGGCCATATGGCTCTTTGGGTCTTAAAGGTTGCTGACCCCTGCCCTAGGTAGCTTTGGATTTATTACTTTGTAAGTTAAAATAAGTAGATAATGGATTGGATTTGTTTGTTATTTGTTTTTGTTATTTAATTGTTTGCGTTCTTTGTG